ACCAGGTGGAAGAGAGCTCTCCTGAGAGGCTCAAATAACCTCAGCTCAGTGAGGTTAGGCACACCTTGATATGATCATTATAGTTATTAATGAGACATTAGAGACTCAATTATTAACAGGTATAAAATACTTTATGACAGTAACAAAAAAAAGTTGTTAAAAATAACAAGAATAGAGTTTGAAAGGGGAGTGATTTGTAAAATATCCAAAAAGAAAAATCTGTCATTGTCAGATGGTATATTACGCTGTTTTTTTTCTGCTTCGAATAGTTCTCTCTTTTTTCACCATACCTGTGTTTGCATCACTGATTGCAACTGAATCAATTTATGTTTTTAATGCATTCTTTTTGGAGATTGTTGGGAGTTTACACAACGTGTTTAGAGATTTGTTGTAGTACAATTATCTTAGTTAGTAGGAATTAGTTTGTTTAATTTAATAGTAAACCTTAGAAATTACGAGTTAGTCAAATTTAAAAGGGTTAAGTTCTGGTGATTTGTATATTTAAGTTGAATTTGTTCATTGAGTTCACACAAATACAAAAAAATAGGTTAATACAAAGCATGCCTTTTAAGTTTACATATCTTAGTTTACATAACTTAGTTTATATAAGTTTACACAATTTTGTTCACATAAGTGTACACAACTTAGTTTATATAAGTTTACATAACTTAGTTTACATAAGTTTACACAATTTTGTTTACATAAGTTTAAACAACTTAGTTTACATAAGTTTAAATAACTTAAAAGGTTTTTGTCAACTACTTCTCAAAATCAATTGAAGCACACCTAGAATACACAAGTTGTTCGTACTGACAATAAGTAAGTTAACTTAACTTACTTATTGTGAGGCAACGAGTTTGCATACTTTTTCTAAGTTACCACAACTTATTAAGTTTTACAGTGTAGCCGGTGGTACGCAATATGGAAATACATTCTTGAGGACGATTAAGGACGCTTAAACGGGGCTACCCGCTGCAGTGGAAATGCGCCATATATGTGTCTATTATAAAGGCATTATGGCCAAAAAGTTAAGAAAACATTATTTTTAATTGACGCTAAAATACCTAATTAAACATTTGGATGTGTTTTACTCTGTATTGTCTGAATGTGGAGCTAGATAGCTTTACACATTTCGTTTTCACAAATTGTTTCTGCGTCTGACAACTTCATAATTGCAGGTTTAACTGTCTATCCCTCTTCAGGTGTGCTACCACGAGGCGTTGCCGCTGTGTTCCCGCTTCTTCCCGTACATGGCCATGCTGCAGTCTCTGGTTCTGGTGGCCAGCGGCTCCTTCTGGCTCCACTTCCCTCACACCTCCGCCCGCATAGAGCACTTCCTCGCCATCTTGTCCAAATGCTGCGAGTCCCCATGGACATCTCAGGCTTTGTCTCACGCCGCCCGACAGGAAAGCATCCAAGAGAAGGAAGTAGTGGAGGAAAGACAACCGCCTCAACCTCCTCTATCTTCAAACTCATCTTCAGCTCCGGTAGTCCGAACCAGAGGATCGAGCATAGACTCAGGAACAGATAGCCCCCTTTTAAAGAGGTTAGGTGGTGCGTCCTTTACCCCTCCTTCTCCATGTCCTTCCGCACACTCCTGTCACTCCAACATCTCGTCCTTATCCCTCGGGTCCCAGGTGAACTTTACTTCTTCCAAGCCCTCTCTCATGGTGGATAGTCCCAGGCAGGTGATCAGTCTGGATAAAAGTGACGGGGAACAAACCAGAGCGCTGTTCGAAAGGGTCAGGAAGTTTCGGTCCCACTCGGAAAGCGCAGATGTCATCTATAAGGTGAGAGATCCTCTAGTCTAATGGATACATGTATTGTAGATCTTAGGCTGAAACCTGCTGTCCAAAAAAGTATAAGTTTTAATAGCGTTACAAGACATTGTGTTTATAGAGTAGTGCAGGAATGAGTCCTCAACCTGGACATTTGTTAGCATGTTAGCACTTCTAGGCTCCCTTGTTTTAAAGTCAATGTTTTTTTTGAATGAGTTTCCGGTCGGTAGTTAACACAAGTTTACTACATTTTCCCATAAAATAAAGCTTTAACATGTCTTTTTAAGGGTGGGTGCTAACAAGTGTCTAAATGAGACTACATAACGTCATCCCGCCAAACAATAGCCGCCTTTAGCTTAGCGGTGGTGAAGTCATTATTAGTTTTTTGCTTCTGGAGATTGCCCTTATGCTTCAACTTTTATAAAAGCTATGTTACTATATGAGGACTAACCTGCTAAACAAAGTTTCATAAATGTGTGTTTGCAGAGCTAAGTTTCTACAATATTCCAATAACCATAAAAAAATCCCATTCACTTTTAGGCGGGAGAGCCCTTGCGATGAATCAAAATACATCATCACTGCACAACTCTAGCGCAACAAGCTTTTAGATGATGCTTTTGTATTAAGAAACTATAAAATATGACACAAATAACGTTACATTTTATTATTATTTTTTGCATTATTTTGTAATCTGCCATATATCCATACTTGTCAACCCTCCCGATTTTCGCGGGAGACTCCCGATTTCATTGCCCTCTCCCGGTTTCCTCCCGGGGTCATATTTCTCCCCGATTTCTGACAAAATCAGATTTACTCAGGACTGTTTCCACTCTGACTTTAATACAGCTACACCATTGTTTAGTTTCCATGGTAACGCGTCTCTTTATTAGCGCGCGCAACTGAAAGTCTGAGATATATCACAGAAAACAGAGCAAGAATCGACAACTCTACCCTCTGCTCACTCCTTTTCATGCTACAGGCCGCGAGGCAGTGCACTTACAACGACAATAAGCATGTTAATGTTAATCTAATACAGCTCCGGCGATCCACTAGCTCCCCCCCCCCCGGCGGTGGTTTTGAAATGCTCCCGATTACTGAGGTCTCAAGGTTGGCAAGTATTCATAGTCTAATGTTGGGAATGTTCGGTTGTGTTTGTGTAATGTGATAAATGTATCAAATCAATAAATACTATATGACACAAATCCATGTTTGATCAGGTTTGGTTGAATATCAATGTATTAATCAAACCCCCTTTTTCATGCTTTCAGGTGTACTTGGCTCAGACGGTATTCAAACTGCTGATGGTGACGGTGATCTTCAGTTACACCATCCCTCTGCTCAGCTCCCTCTCCTTCACACACACCTGTCGCCCAGAGGAAGAGGCCTTGGTTGGATACACCACCTTCGAGTGTATCCATGTTCTCTCCTCTCTTCTACGCAAACTACTGCTGGCTTACCTGACCCTGCTGGGGCTTTATGGCCTGCTGAACCTCTACACCCTCAGTTGGATTTTACACAGGTTAGTGCCAAACTTTAAAGGCTGTACTGATCAATACTCCAACATTGAATCACGGGGTTGCTTGTAGTGAACAAACCACAAAAAACAGTTGGAACGATTGAAAAATATGAGCTCAGGACAAACCCTAACCCTATAAACCTGTGACCTAAGAATTTCACTGACATAACTACACTGTAGCTATATGTAGCTCTGACAGTAAAAGCCTTGAACCTTGAACCTTGAACCTTGAACCTTGAACTTTAAAGGCTGCATTCATCAATACTCCAACATTGAAACACAATAAAATGGCTACATGTTAGATGGAGCTTATAAGGAACACCCCACAAAGAACAGTTGGAACAATCGGAAAATATGAGCTTAGCCTTAGGACAAACCCTAACACTAATTCCCATAGAAATGCTCCATCAAGTCAGAACAGAAACTCGGAAAAATATCATCGTCTTTATTGCTCATGTTGTTTCCAAATGTTTCTTTAAAGTGGACCTATCATGCTATATTGGAAACATATATTGTAGGGCCATACCTATACAAAACATGTCTGTGAAGTTTTTTGCTTAAACAGATCCCCCATTGTCCGCTGCCGATTTGACGTCAGATCGGCAGCAAATCTGTATCCGCTCGTTGTACACCCGTTTTTAAAAGATTTGGGTACGGAGGAAAAGAGAGAGGGTTATATTTTCTGACGCTGCGTGAGTTCCCCGACGCACCGGGGACACATATTTATGTATAAAAGACATCACAAAGTGCATTTTGCATGATAGGTCCCCTTTAAATTAACCGACTTCAAAAAGAAAGACTTCCCAAAATGGGAGATGGGACCATATAAGGAGCACGGGAATGCACAATTGGCCTTGAAAGTGGAGGACACCAAAACAGAGCATAAAAGCCAGAAAGTATTGAACTTATATTTCTGGAGGGGCGATTGAAAATAATCACTATGATACTTCTTGTCTTCTGTATGTTTCAACAAACTACAGATTGCATTTTATGCTTTTAAAACATATTTGCAGCAACTAAAACATGCAAAACTACAAAAAGACAGAGGAGTCTAACTGGCTTATAACTATACAATTTTTCACTTTGTTTGAACAACATTTTCATTATTTTTGTAGACTCTAAGTCACATGTGTCAAACTCAAGGCCCGGGGGCCAAATCAGGCCCTTGGTGGATTTAATTTCGGCCCGCAGGATAATTTCTAATTACTATTAGATCTGGCCCGCCGGTATATTGCACGCACACCTTCACTCCATCCTGAGGGTCTCCTCAGCTCAGAGCCTGACCCCAAACATTGATGAACTTGCACCCAAGATGAGATGCCAAGTATCTGAACTAGCCTCACAGAGCAGCACACTGAGTTTAATGGATCTTTCCTTCTACACTTTTTCTCTCACGACAACAGGGCATGTTTGGTTTCTCTTTGAGGGAAATAGTTTTGTTGAAGCTGTTGTTGGCCTGTGGGAAAATGTAATCATAAGGAATGACTCTGGAAAAGCTGCAGATAGAGCCATAAGAAATGAATGCAGCTGATTATTTAATGTTTAATGTTGTTTTTATAGGCAATCATTGAAGCTTTGTTAGTTCCAGGTTTAATATGTGCAATAAGTTCATTGCAATCAGTTCTGCAATAAACATTGAACCAGTCCGGCCCTCGACTAGTACCCATTTTTTTTATTTGGGCCACTGTGTATTTGAGTTTTGACCCCCCTGCTCTAAGTAGACTACAAAGGTTGT